AGGATAGAACCTTGTAGTACACAACATTGGATAGAAAGTGGGTTTGATTTAACATTTTCAACTTCAACATACTGTGTTCTGCTTTTGAGATACCTTTTAAACCACTGGAGAGGGACACCACGGATCCCGTATCTGTATAATTTCTATAGTAGGATCTGATTGTTGACAGTATCAAAGGCTTTAGATAGGTCAAGAAAAAATACTGCAGATAGCTTCATTGCTGTCAATTTTCATTTAAAGACTGTCAGTGAGTTCAAGAATTGCTTGCTCGGTAGAATAATTTTCCTTGACGCCAAACTGGTGTTTAAATAGAGTGTTTTCGTTTTCTAGGAAATGATTTAGCTGATTGTACACTAGTCTTTCAAGTTTTTAGCAATTGAAATAATAACTGGTCAGATAACTTTAAAATACGTGCCCTCAATAACTTGTATACCTGAGTCCAGATACCATCACGAGACACTGGTCAGCGGCTACCCTTTTTTAGACGGCTGTCAATTGACCGTAACGTGGATGTCCTATGTCAAATGGGTTGTTGAATTGAGAAGATAGGGTTCTCCTTTTCACTGCAACTGAACTGATATGTTTCAGCCCCTTAAGTTTGCTTTACATCATTAAGAAAATTCTCTCTTGCTATAACAATATCGGATGTGGTTGAGGTTTTGTTGGAAAAAAGGAAGTAAAGGGACATTGAAAGAATAACAAATAACAAACAGATTGTGGTAACTTTTAACAACTGATATGTCGAAGGCCTTTGACTCCATGCATTCAGCTCTGTTGCTGAGTAAACTCAGAGCGTATGGTTTCCAAGAAAGCCTAATTTAGACTGTTGCGTAGCTACTTATGCGACTGTTATAACGGAATTGAAGCTGGCATCTCAAAGAAGTTCTTGGAGAAGAGTTAACCGTGGCTGTCCCGAAGGTTCTGCGTTCGACAAGACACTGAAAAGAACTGAAAACAGAGCGGGATTGTAGCCATAGACAGCTGTTTCGCTATTGTTGTAGCTCTTCAATATGGTGTAACAACCAGAGAAAGCTCAGCTGAAAAAATCACCCGCACACTCTGATTTATAATTAGGCCCTAACCCAGAGACGTGATTATCACAACTAAATACTGCAGAGGAAATTCCACAAAATTCCCAAATCGCCGTAACAAATTACAGGAGTGGGCATTGCCCTCAGCGGTTAGCACCAGTCGTTTTAGTCCATGTGGTCTTTGTTTTAGTCCATGAGGTCTTCGTTTTGGAGCCATAGGGCCTTCGTTTTAGTCCATTGGGTCTTCGTTTTAGTCCAAGGGTCTTCGTTTTAGTCCAAGTGGTCTTTGTTTTAGTCCATGGGGTCTTCGTTTTTAGTCCATGGGGTCTTAGGTCTTAGGTCTTCGTTTTGGGTCTTCGTTTTAGAAACACCCGCCACAGACAGATGTTAACGAGAGTGTAAGCTGATTAAAGGTTTCACTGCCTGTTACGAGACGCAAACAGCTCTTAAGATCATTCAGTCAATCCATTGAATAGAAAGTGTTAAGGATATACTCTATTCCCCCCACCCTCTCCCAAAAAGAAAGAAAACCGCTGGCAGCCGTGAAGGTCGTCTGCCTGACAGCCGTTTTTAGTGTCGTCACGCAACGCTCCTCCCCACTTAGTGGGGAGGAGCGTTGCGTGTGACGACACCAAAACAACTGAGTAACAGTCTACCGTGAAGGGAGGCAAAGCAAAATTCATGTATGTAGTGGTGTTTTATATAACTTTTTTTCTCAGCTAGGAAACACTTTGGTTTATTGGGTAAATCGCCATTTAGAGACGTCCCTCCACTGAGCCTGAGAGAAGCGCCCAGGTTAATTTATGATGTTCAAACAAAAGGAGAAATGATAACGCAGAGGTCATTAGTTATAGAGGTACAACTTCTTCCCCGTTCCTTTTGATGCTTGTGCAGCATGCTTTCCTATTTTCCTCAATATATCGTACTTTCTAGCTTTTCCATTCTGTGGATGAGATCCTTCTTTTAAACGTCGATGTCAGTTTTGCAGCCACGTCCTTTGCACTAGCAGACCTCGCCCAATACAAGGACACCCAAGAGAAAGTTCAACAAGAAATAGACGAGGTCCTCCGGGGAGAGGATCCGAGCTCCTTCTCAGACTTGGACAAGAAACTACCATATATGGAGATGGTATTGAAAGAAAGTGCGAGAATGCACCCAGCGTTGGCGCTAAGCTTGCCTGAAAGGACAGTAAAGCAAGTGACTGATGTGGGAGGATTCCAGATTCCTAAAGGGGTGAGAGTATGACTTTGTCTGTTTTTTTTTGTTGTTGTGTCAAACAATTGCACACCCGTTACCACCCTGGTGTGGACCAATACTACCAGACATTAAGCTTCAAAGGTACGCGCTGCAAGAAGGCGGGCGCAATTTTGGTTTTCGAGTTGCTCAGTCACAATTGGGTTACTTTTCTTGTATTGTGATCCTTCCCGTAAGGGTATCCTGGGTACCAGAGGTTTCAATTCTCGGTTTGGGCCGATGCTAGTCTGTGCCCAGCATTTTGTTTTGAGGGGAGGGGTGGCGCTGTACAAAGCAGGCTACCGAAACAGGTACCCCATCTTGTGAATTTTCTGGCACCAAGGGTATCGATATAACGAACATCTATATAACGAAGTCCTCGACATAAATAACGATTTTCTTTGCCCCGTAGTAGTAGTAAGATATAAAAGAAAACGATGGTCGATATAACGAAACCCTTATAGCAAATAAATTTTGCCAGTCCCAGTCTTTGCACTGAGTTATATTGAAGCTCCACTGTATGAGGTTTCTTTGGACCTCATGATCTCAATCGCGGTACCTTAACGTCGCGTAGTAGTTTTCTTTTTTATTTCAGAGCACTTTGTAGTTTTGTCTTGTGATCCTTAAAGAGGCCTAACCGTCGTAGAATGACTCAAGATTTTTCTCCCAAATAAATAGCTAACTGCTGGTTCACCAAGAAAGGCAAACGAATATTAGCGCTTTTTCCTAGATACTGAATGTTGCAATCGCATTTGCGTCTTGAGAGGGCAAAGACAACAACAATTTATCTTTTAAATTAGTGCTGAGCGAAGGATTCAACATATACGAGTTCATCTCAAGGGTGCTGCATGGGTTTACTAACTTCTAACTGAAAATAATTGTGTTTTTCTTTCTTCTTGCTGCAGACGCCAGTTTGCGTAGATACCTATTCCCTGAACTTCTCTGAGCAGTTTTGGGAAAATCCTGAGAAATTTTACCCGGAACGGTTTTCTAATGGCATGAAACACGTAGCCGGTTCTTTTTTTCGCTTTGGACTGGGTCCCCGGAAGTGCCTCGGGTATCGGTATGCCCTAGCGATTACTCGTTTGGTGGTGGCGTCAGTTTTGCAGAGGTTCACACTTGAACTGGCCCAACCCAGTGGTGACCTGACAAGAGTAAAGGCCAAGGGAATGACCTTTTTCACACCATACCTGAGTCCAACTATAATATTTCATGAACGAAAATGAGCTTTAAAAGT